AAATAAATGGCAAACTAGCGATTAATTCAAAGCTATCTAATCGCAAGTATGATGTAACACGCACAAACTTCTGCATTGTAGTATGTATATTACTTACTCAGATGCCCAAGTATTCTATTTTAACTAAATTCTTTATTTAGGCAAAGCTTTTGATTGATCGAAATGCTCATCATAAAAATGCTCTGATAATTCTGGAAGAACAGCAATTCTTTGGCGAAGTACAATATTATTTTTCACACTAATATAATGGTTATTGGTCTATACTAGCATATGTACAATAGGTTCACAATTCCAATCCACTGGCCACAGATCATTATATTTTCAGGATCTTGGCGCATTTGAAGTAATTAATATTAATGCAATTGATAGAAAAGTTGAATTTTTCAAAATGTCAAATAATAAACGATATATCATTGATCAAGAGAATAAAATTAGGTTTAGATAACATCTATGCATGGTATGTTTTCTAATCAAAATGGGCTTTGAAGGCCTTCTATGCTTTGCTAAATGATATCAATAAACTGATTTCATTTTCTCAAATTACCATTTATTTATATGCTATATATTACTTGCAGTTATATTTTTGTTATTTATGAAATGTTAATTTAATTTGTTAAAGAATTTACTTATATTCTCCGTATTTATTCTGTTTACTGATTTATATATTAGTAATTAAACATGAAAAAAATTCGGATTGCTTGATTAATAAGTTTTCGCAGTTATAAAACATACTGAACATTCACGGACTCAAAAAATGCAATCATGGAAAATTAATAAAAAATATGAAAAAAATCTGGATTGCATATTCATTTAGTTTTCACGCCTATAAAAATACACTGAACATTTATGAACTCAAATACATAATTTCGGAAGATATTATGGAAGCATTCCAGAGTGACATTTTTTACAGGGTAGTTGTATTTGTTTTTTCTTGACAAAACCATTCACATTGACGTTGTGACGGTTAAAAATTCTACTTATAGAATTTTTAAGAATTTCTATGTTAATTCTATTTTCTTGCAGATCAA